GTCCAATATGCTTCAGTATACAGAGCAGGGAAATAAGCAGCGGCAAACAAATGGTAAAGAGCTTTTTTAAAAAAGACAGGAAGGCTAGAAAGGTTTTTTATCATTTGAAGCTCCTTCTTCACCTCAGAATTTTCATGGATGAACATTTTCCACATCTCTAATGGGGAAAAAACAACTCACAAGAAAGTGTTATTTGTAACAGTTAAAAAGTGCCAAAATTAATTTTCAAATCTCTGGGATCTGAGGTCTCAAATAAAAAGAAAGGCAGGTCGTTTGGAACCGTTTTGCTTTCACATGGAATGTACTGCCAAACGAATATACTTAGGTTCTCAGTCCAAACGCAGCAGAACCATGTAGAGGAGAAAACATGCATCAGAGTCCATGCCAGACTTAATGAGCAGCTACAAATATAATTTTCTTGGGAATCGTGGGCACTTTAAATATGCAAAAATGGGAAAACATTTCATGCAATTACAGAAAGCAGATGAGACTCTCTGCTTAATATGATTTTAGGCGGTTTGTGCCCACAGGATATGCCAGCACTGCAGATGCTTAAAGGTCTTCTATCAAAAACAAACAACAATAGCCTATTGCTTTTCTACCATCAACAAAACAAGATGGGGACCCTTCTGGTTTAATAAAGATCAGCCTGTCACCACCACCGTTCAGAGAGTTTCCAAGCATCTGAAAACTCCCCATCACAACCTGAAATGCAGATAGCAAGCATAAACTTTCAAGTGTAACCAGTGAACCTCAGTTCACTAGGCAAAACCTATTTAGCACGGGGCGGTTGTTGGTTTTTAAAACTGTGCGCTGACTTAAAAACGCAACCTGTTTTCCTATGCAAATCTTTTGAGAGAGGGTTTAGCCTGTAAATACAAATGACCCTGGACTACAGCCAGACAGCCAGAATCTAAAAATAGATGGCTTGGTAACATCTATACTGCAGACATCAAGGCTGCTGTTTCTAAGCTCTGTACAGCACCTAGCACACCACTTAAAATTAACTAAATGCAGCTTATTGTCTATTACTGGGGACTTGCCTGATGGTGCTCATGCTGATTAAACTGAAGCTGTTTTGGACTCTTTTTGACATATGGACAATCAACTAAGCTGATTACCATCCACGTATCAGCATCTCACTCCTTGCCTTCCGCAATCCTTTTTCCAGCTCTTACATAGTTTGGATGCATATTGGGAAATACTGCATTCATATTCCTGATTGTAAGGCTAGTGCCTCTGTCTCATTTTCTAATGTTCCTTTCGCACTGCAGTGGCTTTTTTAAAAACCATTTTATAAGGTATATAAAATGGAGAACACAATTATAACAACAGACAAAAATTAAAAGATGAGAAACAAAACTATAAAACAGGCACGTTGAATGAGTAGTTGCACAGGAATTAAAATAACAACGTCCAAGTATAGACTGTCAACTTTATAAGATTGGCAAGTATAGCTCTAGATTTGTCAGTCTTGTGACAAGGGCTGTCTGTGGTTCCACTGTATATGTCATAAAGGAATGCCAAATCGCATTAAAAATGTTTGGAGAGGCTAGTCCTTGTCAAAAACTCAAATTATGTGTGATTTTCTCCATTATAGCTATATTCCAGAATAAGTGATACCAAACATACCGTGTAAGATTTTGGGCTGATTTCAATTGAGTTGCAATTACTATTTGTGCTGCTAATATCATATAAAAGAGTAGACCAATTCTTTTGACATTTACATTAGTATCATTAAAAATATTCAGTAACATTAATTTTGAACAACAAACAATAGTTTCTTTAGTTTTTTTTAATCATTTCTGTTGAAATTAAATTCCAAAAATCTTGCACCAACTGACATTTCCACCATAAATGATATGTCCCACTTTTATTGCAACCCCCAACAATTAGGTGATATACCGTAGATTACAAGAGAACATTTTTGACATTTGCAAAGGAGTGCAGTACCATCTGTGTAATAATGTTAATGAGTTTTCCCTAAGTACACTGGAAACAGATTTTAAGGGTTACAATTTCCAAATTTCATTCCAGTCCTTGGAAAGAATTTGTGTATATCTAGTATTCCTTCATGGCTCACTGCCTTGTCATGGCGAAGGGGCTTGAATAACTCAGAGAAGCTATGAGCTATGCTGTTTAGGGCCACCCAAGACAGGCAGGTCATGGTGGAGAATTTTGACTAAACATGATCCACCCGGAGCAGGAACCGGCAAGCCACTCCAGTATCCCTGCCAAGAAAACTCTATGGAGAAAGACAACCATAAAGAAGGCTGATCGCCGAAGAATTGATACTTTTGAATTATGGTGCTGGATGAGACTCTTGAGAGTCCCATGGACTGCAAGAAGTTCAAACCTATCCTTTCTTAAGGAAATCAGCCCTGAGTGCTCACTGGAAGGACAGATCCTGAAGCTGAGGCTCCAATACTGTGGCCACCTCATGAGAAGAGAAGACTCCTTGGAAAAGACCCTGATGTTGGGAAAGATGGAGGGCACAAGAAGAAGGGGACAACAGAGGATGGTTGGACAGTGTTCTCGAAGCTACCAACATGAGTCTGACCAAACTGCGGGAGGCAGTGGAAGACGGGAGTGCCTGGCGTGCTCTGGTCCATGGGGTCACGAAAAGTCGGACACGATTAAATGACTAAACAAAAACAACAGTTCCCATATCTTTTTAAGGGGTTCCATAGATCCATAAGTTACATTAATACAATTTAGAAACTAACCCCCCCCCCGCACAATCACCCACTGTGCTTAATAAATGTTCAAATTGTGTCTCAGAGCTTGTGTCTTTACGTGTTCTTTTATAATAAAACTACAGTGTCACACACACACACACACACACACACACACACACACCGTTACATGGGTTCAACTTGTGCACATTCAGCTTTATGTGCTTGGGAAATAAAATAAAATAAATAAAGGGTGGAAAGGGGGTGGGTATCCGGGAAATCCCACTGGGCAATGAACCCAATGGTGTTTCCATTATACGCGAATTCATGCATACATGCGGGACCCAGGAACTTAACCCTTACGTAAATGGGACTCGCCTGTATGAATTTGATTAAAATAAATCCAGTTTGTGTGAAACTGTGGCTTTTTGACTGATACACCAACATATTGTGCCAAATTTCACCGCCATCTTGTGCTAAATTTGACCCACACCAGTGGGCTTGGTATGACAGAACAACAAATGCCATTGGATAGCATCACAAGTCCCCTCCACCCTTGTGCTTCAGTTTCCCCCATGAGTCACCCAAGCAAGCAGAAGGAAAGGGCACCACCTCAAAATTTCATCACTTTACTCCCATAATGTTCTGGGATAATGGGGTTACAAACAGGTGTTTTTCCCCCCTTTTCTTTTCTGGAAGCAATTAACGTGGAAATGAGCGTTAAACTTCCACTAGATTGCCAGAAGTTGCTTTTACGTCACGTTGAAAACTCGAATATAATGCAGAACTAAACAGTTTGGGAAATGAGATAAACTGCCATGTGAAGACAGCCTTTGGGAGGGGGTTACCTCAAAAACGCCCCCCACCTTGTAAATAGCTTAAATAAATAAAACAAATAATAAAATGAGGGACAGGAAGGATGTGGCAAGAGCCCTGTGAGTAAAGAAAAATTATGAGAGTAGCATGTTCTGCTGGGAGGGATTGTGAGTTTTACATACTGCAACCAGGATTCAGAATGATTGAAGTAAGCTAATAGGATCCACCGCGCTAGGGAGTTAGAGCTAGTTAATGTGCATTAGGCACACAGCCAAAAAATCCAGATATCAGGAGGTCATGAACTTGTAATGTGGAAAATGATCTGGAATTAAAACAGAAGGAACCCTGCAGAAGCTTGTTTCTCTTAAAAACACCGCATTTATTATTATCATCATTACAGTGGTACCTCGGGTTAAGAACTTAATTCGTTCTGGAGGTCTGTTCTTAACCTGAAACTGTTCTTAACCTGAGGTACCACTTTAGCTAATGGGGCCTCCCGCTGCCGCCGCACGATTTCCGTTCTCATCCTGAGGCAAAGTTCTTAACCTGAGGTACTATTTCTGGGTTAGCAGAGTCTGTAACCTGAAGCGTCTGTAACCTGAAGCGTCTGTAACCCGAGGTACCACTGTATTATGATATATTTATTTGTACCCCATCATTTTCCCTGACAGGACTCAGGGAGGCTAACATAAAAATGCAAAGCACTAACAACATAGAAAAAGCAATTTAAAAAACCAAACAATTAGGCACTGTTAGAAGTAAAACTATAAACATATATAGGTAAAGGGGTAAAGGGACCCCTGACCATTAGATCCAGTCGTGACCGACTCTGGGGTTGTGGCGCTCATCTCGCTTTATTGGCCAAGGGAACCGGCGTACAGCTTCCAGGTCATGTGGCCAGCATGACTAAGCCGCTTCTGGCAAACCAGAGTAGCTCACGGAAACGCCGTTTACCTTCCCGCCGGAGCGGTACACCTATTTATCTACTTGCACTTTGACGCGCTTTCGAACTGCTAGGTTGGCAGGAGCGGGGACTGAGCAACGGGAGCTCACCCCGTTGTGGGGATTCGAACCACCGACCTTCTGATCGGCAAGTCCTAGGCTCTGTGGTTTAACCCACAGCGCCACCTGCGTTCCCATAAACATATATAAAATCTATCAAACCATACAAATAATTACAATAAAAGCAATACGTACCATTATAATCTCATTTACACCATTTAAAGAACTATGATACTGCTTTATACAGTCATTACTTCCCCCAAAGAATTCTGTAAACAAAGAAACTGTAGTTTCTGAAGGCTACTGAGAGTTGTTAGGAGACCCCTGGCAGAGCTACATGTGCAAGTTCATATTTCAAGACTGACTTTTCATATGCCAAGCTTTCCACACCCCAATGCTTTTTAACAAGATCCTTTTCTTCCATTCTAGAATTCTTTTTCACATCTTTCACATCTTTTGTACTCTTTTCTTTTCCCACCCCACCAAATTCATATTTACCTTTTTATACCAATTAATATTGCTTTTGTACCCTGATCATTGGTACAAGGGCATTCTTAGCTTTTATTAAATTTAACAGAAGAGGAATCAACAAACAGTATCACTATGGATACGACCCAACCAGTCTCTAGCATTTTCCAATCATATCAGCTGTCAATGGAGTTTAACAGTGCTTACTCCCGGGTTAGTGGATTGCAGCTTAACTCTTCCAGACTTGAAAGCGCTTAACTTTGGCTGGATTGTGCTAAGCATGCTCACATCGTAAGCAACTAGCGTGTGGCTGATTATAGTTTCCCTACTGGCTTTCAGCCAATCCCTTCCACCCTCTGTATTAAGCAAATTACGAATAGCTAAGCGCTAACATTCTTGGAGGATCATGCAGCCTATAAAAGTATGTTTGGGTTTTATATCCAGATGAATTGCTGCTTCTCCCAGATATAAACACACGAGAGTGGACAAAGACTGAGAGTTCATAATCTGCACAGTTACAGATGCCTCTGTCATGCTCTTAGGCATACCAGGCATGCTGCGTCGCAAGGGAGCATTTGAAACAAGAAAGAAAGCAAAAGAGTAAAGGCAGGCGAAGTCAGTGCTTGTGCACCGTGTCATTATTTCAATCCCAAAAATACTTCTCTGCATATCTTTCCACACCCATCCCTCCAACACAATATTCTCTTTTGTGTACATTAGGGTGCAACAGCTGAGTTTGGTATATCGGTGCCTTCTCTCCAAAAACAACCTGTCAATCTCCTAATAAAATAAACTTGTGTCACGCAGTGGGGCGTAAGCTTATTATTTCAGCACCGCAAATGCAAAGCACCAGTCAATATTTCAGAATGAACTGCTTACTTAAAGGGAAAGTGAGGTTAGTTGACTTAGCTGCCTTTCTGAGCTCTTCTATGCTTTCCTGTTCTGACTTGACTGTTTTCGGATTCCATGGCTGAAAACATTGCTGGCTTTGTCTGGGTGGGAGGCGCTGGTTCATCCTAAGTTTATCACAACTGCTTCATAAAGTTCTTAAAAACTTGCATTCTAAAAACAACGCTGCCAACACTTTCCTAAACAACATTTTCAGTCATCACCCATTACCGCACCTTTAATTTTCTTAACAATAACCGGTCATTCATAACACTTGTCTTACTTACAGAAAGTGTCCATCTCAGCTGGGAAACGAGTCAACTGTTTGAATAATCCACCTTCAACATTTCAGTTAAGTACACAGCACAAGGTTGTTTGTCTAGTTTGCAGATAGCTTCACCTTCCAGAGGGATACATGCATAGTATATATCAGATAGATTGTGTTGTGCTCTGATAAGGTCACTGAGGCTTAGCTAGAATCTAGCAATGCTTAATCCTCATTGGTCTTGCCTGCTTAGCACAGGGCTGTTTCCTTGACAACGCAGTTGCAGTTGCTACAGCATCCTTGGCCACATGTGATGTCAAGGTTTGATGTCAACATAAAAAACCCTACTTACTACTTTATGATTTATGTGTACATCTGCCTGCACACACTCTCTCTCTGTAGAGAATCTTTTACTCATTGGTTTCCCCCCTTCCCATTCTGGAAATTATTTGTGTCTTATTTGCCTGGGAAATGCATTGCAAATTCATTAGTAAACACAGGGAAGCAAACGCATCAGTCCCGGGCCAGTAGTATTGACAATTGCTCTGACGACCCGTTTATTTGAAAGGAACTTATTTTTCAAACGGGTGGCGCTGTGGGTAAAACCTCAGTGCCTAGGACTTGCCGATCGTATGGTCAGCAGTTCGAATCCCCGCGGCGGGGTGAGCTCCCGTCTTTCGGTCCCAGCTCCTGCCCACCTAACAGTTCGAAAGCACCCTAAGTGCAAGTAGATAAATAGGGACCGCTTTATAGCAGGAAGGTAAACTGTGTTTTTGTGTGCTGCGCTGGTGCTGGCTCGCCAGAGCAGCTTCGTCACGCTGACCACGTGACCCTGAAGTGTCTCCGGACAGCGCTGGCCCCCGGCCTCTTAAGTGAGATGGGCGCACAACCCTAGAGTCGGACACGACTGGCCCGTACGGGCAGGGGTACCTTTACCTTTACTTATTTTTCAAACAAGTGTCCTTGAGATTGCAGCCTGGAAAATAGTGACTGAGGCAATGATAAAAAAGCAGCTCCATGGAATGTGATGGTGGTTTAGTTCCTCTCTTTTCTTCTGTAGTAGAGCTTACCTGGCATCATGGACATCACAGCAATTGAGTGGTCCCCTATCCTCAGCTCCATATCTTTGACTGCTGAGGGTGAGAGTGAGGAAACGTAAAATGTCAAGACATCACAGTGTGAGGTATGTTCTACTCAGGGTGATGGTGGTGGCCTAGACTCAAGTCTTCCATTTTAGGCTATGTCCTCCCTGCACTATCAGAATCAGTTTTGGGAATCACAAGTAGGGAAGAGCACTTAGGTCCTGCTTCCAGGCTTCCTGTAGGCCCACCCCGTCAGTTTGGACAATTTAAAATTCAGTATTAAAAGCAGTTTAAACAAATTACAAGGGACGCAGGTGGCGCTGTGGGTTAAACCACAGAGCCTAGGACTTGCCGATCAGAAGGTCGGCGGTTCGAATTCCCTCGACGGGGTGAGCTCCCGTTGCTCTGTCCCTGCTCCTGCCCACCTAGCAGATCAAAAGCATGTCAAAGTGCAAGTAGATAAATAGGTACCGCTCCGGCAGGAAGATAAACGGTGTTTCCGTGCGCTGTTCTGGTTCGCCACATGACCCAGAAGCTGTACACCGGCTCCCTCGGCCAATAAAGCGAGAGGAGAGCGCAACCCCAGAGTCAGCCATGACTGGACCTAATGGTCAGGGGTCCCTTTACCTAAACAAATTACAGTCTCAGGAATAGAGTGAATCCTGAAAATACACCTCTCAGGGGTCAAAGGTCAGGGTGCATCTTCAGCATTCACCAAAAACCGTATGGCAAAGGTGGAGAGAGAATTCTACAACTTTGGGGCTGCCACAGAGAATGCATTCCCCCTCAACTGTCCCAAGTTCAGTGGGACATCCTGGAATCACAGAAGCCACCCCAGCTTCTGATTGGATCCCAGAATGTCCTATTTCTTGGTCCGGCACTCTGGCGTGAGTCCCGGAAGAATTCGGGAGCAAAAAACTAGCATCCCAGTATCGATCAGCGGGATGTTGGAGGGTATGAGAATGCCAGCTCTTGGACCACCCCTCTCCTGGAACTGCTGATATGGTGGAACTACCAAGAACCTGGAACCTTCTGAATGCTAAACAGATGCTATACCTGAGACACTGAGCTATGACTCTTTCATACTATCCTATGGCCCATGGGATGCTCATAGGATTATAGCCTAAATATGTTATTAAGTGTTAACTGGATGTTGTTTTATCTTCTTCTTTTTTTACTAGTTATGCATTTTACTGCTGTTGCCCACCTCAAGTGCCACAATTAACTAACAATAACGCTAATTATCCTGAGATAAAGGAATATCCATTTTGCTTCAAAGCACAGGGAAGCGTTTTGAGGTAACAGGTTTCTGTTATAGAAGCTGTGACATTTCTTTCCCCGTATTGCTGCTCAGCCATGACTGTGAGTGCAGTAATTAGGCCCTGCTAGGATTCAAGATTTCTCTAAGCAAGTGCATCTGCCAAATCATAGAAAAGAAGAGGATGCAATGCACAGCACAAAAATAAATTGGAGCAACATGACAAAAATAGAGCCAATAATTACAGACAAATGATATCAAAGGTCATATGAACATGAATATAATATTTCTAAAACTGTGGATAGGGAGAAAAAATTATCCATCTCTCATTATATTAAGGCCAGGCGGCTACCCAATGAAACTAATGGGCAGCAATAGATTCTGAACAGACACACATCCAGCGTAATCCACTGCCACAAGTCCTAATGGTGGCCACTTACTTGTTGTTGTTGTTTATTTGTTTAGTCGTGTCCGACTCTTTGTGACCCCATGGACCAGAGCACGCCAGGCACTCCTGTCTTCCACTGCCTCCCGCAGTTTGGTCAAACTCATGCTAGTAGCTTCGAGAACACTGTCCAACCATCTCGTCCTCTGTTGTCCCCTTCTCCCTCCATCTTTCCCAACATCAGGGTCTTTTCCAGGGAGTCTTCTCTTCTCATGAGGTGGCCAAAGTATTGGAGCCTCAGCTTCAGGATCTGTCCTTCCAGTGAGCACTCAGGGCTGATTTCCTTCAGAATGGATAGGTGTGATCTTCTTGCAGTCCATGGGACTCTCAAGGGTCTCCTCCAGCACTATAATTCAAAAGCATCAATTCTTCGGCGACCAGCCTTCTTTATGGTCCAGCTCTAATTTCCATACATCACTACTGGGAAAACCATAGCTTTAACTATACGGACCTTTGTTGGCAAGGTGATGTCTCTGCTTTTTAAGATGTCACTGCCTTGCCATGGCGAAGGGTCTTGAATAACTCAGAGAAGCTATGAGCTATGCAGTTCAGCGCCACTCAAGACGGACAGGTCATAGTGGAGAGTTTTGACCAAACATGAGCAGGAACCGGCAAGCTACTCCAGTATCCCTGCCAAGAAAACTCCATGGACAAAGACAACAGACCACTTACTTAGATGGATTTAAAGAAGGAATAGACAAATTCATGGACCAGCAGCTATTTCCCACAAGAGTTAAATGGCACTTTCATTTTCAGAAGCAATATACCTCTCGATGCTGGACATTGAGGACAAACAGTTCAAGGACTTAGCCTCATGCCCTGTTTGAGAGCTCCCCCTATGGCTGGTGTTTGAAACACAAACCTAGAGTGCGTCCAGATGAGTGTTCATTGTGGGATCACAAGCATGCATTGGAGTACAATTTTGTGCATATCTACTCAGAAGTGAATCTGTGGAAATAATGCTCTGCCGCCACAGTCAGAGGCTTCTGAAAACCATAGAAAGGGGAGCATGGTGTTGCACTCAGGTCTTGCCCTTGGGTTTTCCACAGGCATTTGGTTAGCAACTGTGAGAACAGGATGCTGTGGCTGGATGAGACTTTGGCCTGATTCAGCAAGTTCTTCTAAAGTCCAGCGGGGAAGGACTGGAAATCTCAGCTAAGTGTATATACCAGCCAAACTTGCAGTCTTTAAGTGGAAATTGTGTTTACAGACCCTGCATTCATTTCTGGCTTATCATTGGCCCAGGATTAAAATGTTATCTGAATGTGTTTTGCAGTATCCATATCGCCCTATTGTTAGCATCATCTCAAATGCCATGTGATCCAAGCCCCAAGTTGCAAGCACTTTCTTGTTACATTATCATATCCACAGCTTCCCCCCATTGTTATTCCAAATTCAGTTTCATTACCCTAATTATACTTCACTGTAACAGCTCTCAAAACTAAAAGCATCAGATTAGAGATTGCCATTTATCCTTTTTATTTAGCACTGTTAGAAACATAGTCTGCTTTCCTTTCCCCCCCAAAACCACTTTGATCAATTTCAAACACTGCCTACTGCAACAAATCTGTTGAAGGCTGCCAGCTATAACATTCGAAGGTGCAAACTTCAATTTAGTTACAAAATAGGGGTGAGATTTATCAGCAAAAGCCCCGAAAGCCCCACGCAAGAACTTCTGCTTCTGCAAAGGGGCTTTCTCCCCTCTCCCCCCTGCATGCACCCCAAAATTGGCTTGGGGAGATTGGGAGAACCCCTGGAACTGTGTATGGGCGGGAGAAGAGGGGGGGTTTGTTCCATCTGGCAAGCCAAAAAATGCTTCTCCTGGTACAATGAGCAGCACGGCGCAAATTTGAATCCACCCCTCTGTCATATAGCTATCTATGGACTCAGCTACATTAGTAAAAAAATCAACACTTTGAATGCGTTATAAACATGCAACACCAGATGGCACCAGAGAGCAAAAAAAAATATTCTATGCAATTTTTACAAAGCTTTTTTTCCTTTTGTTATAACAATTTAATTTCTGACTTATTTATAGTGGTTTTTCATGTGTGTAGATCCACCCTATATCTATATGTATATATAAAGTATGATATTAAGGGTTGTATTCAACCCTAGTCCACTGGAATTAATGAACCCAAGTTAGTCATATCCAATAACCTCAATGGGTCTACTCTGAGCAGGACAAGCATTGAATACTTCCTAAGTATGCTAATCGTTAGCAACATGGGTGTTACTCAAAGCACGAAGGAAAGTGGGGTGTTCTAAGCGACACCCCTCATTACAGTGGTACCTCAGGTTAAGTACTTAATTTGTTCCGGAGGCCCGTTCTTAACCTGAAACTGCTCTTAACCTGAAGCACTACTTTAGCTAATGGG